GCAGGCCAAGCCTCTGTGCTCCCTCTGCACACGGCCTGTCTGGAGGGGGGCGGCCTCGGCCAAGAAGGGGGCAGGGCGGCGTGACGCCTTCTGCCGGCCCCGCCGAGGATCCGGGAATGGGAGGCGCTTTTTCCTGAGGGAGCGCTGGAGGGAAAACCAAACAGAGCGAGCAGCCCAGAGCTCGGGTGTCTGGAATTCGCCTTAAGACTCTGTAGGAAAACGGGCCCTCCCTCCCGGTCCCCCACTGCCGTCCTTCCCCTGCCCACCCTTTCCTCACCGCCCAGCGCCCGATGCCGGAGCTGCTCCTCCCAGAGCCGTCGGGAGCCTCACGCTGTCCACACGCATCCACAGCACACGTGTCCCTTGGACCCTTTCTAAGGGTCCACACGTTCAGGACAGGGATGTGGACAGAGTGGGGCTGTTGATTCAAAGAAGTGTTGAGCAGGGATGAAAAGGTGCCGGTCTCGCCGAAACCGGTGTGGCTCAGTGGATAGAGCGTCTGCCTGCAGACTGAAGGGTCTCAGGTTCGATTCCTGTCAAGGGCATGTACCTTGGTTGCGGGCACATCCCCAGTGGGGGGTGTGCAGGAGGCAGCTGGTGGATGTTTCTCTGGCTCTCTATCCCTCTCCCCTCCTCTCTGTAAAAAAATCAATAAATATATTTAAATAAAATAACATAAAAAGTTGGTCTAGAAACTGATGGCATTCCTCTGGAGAAGGAGCGGGAGCGAGGCGCAGCCTGCCCGGCGGTGCGCTGAGAAGGCCCGGCCCCCGCGCCGCGCTCCGAGGCTGTGGAACGCGCCGTGAGGTGGGGAGATGAGCGGAGATGCGGTGTGCGGTGGTTCCTGGGGTGGCCCCGAGTCCAGTGCGACGCTCACTTCAAACCCGTGTTCCCTGTGAGGACGGCTGGCTTCCCTGCGCCTGGGCATGTCCCCGGGACCCCACCCTCTCCCCGTGTCCCCTTCGGTGGCTCCGGTGGCCCGAAAAGGGAGGCAGGGCTGCGGACTCCGTGTCACGTGGGCGTTCTGAGCAGTCCCTCTCACTCGCCGTCAGGAACACAGGATCTTGTTAAGCCCGTGGGGGAATAGCCTGGACATCGGGGCTGGTCTGATGTGTGTCCCACACTTCATCACCTCCCCAGTGACCCCAAACCATAAAGTTATTTCCGCTGCTGCTTCATAACTGTGCCGGAGCTCCTGTCATGAAATGTAATGTAGATACCTGTGTTTTCCGATGCCTCAGGCTCTAGGGCTCCGAGCTCCCGAGCCTTGGATTTTCCTGGGAAACGCCTTCCTCTCGCAGGACTCCACTCTCCTGTGCATGAGCACATGCCCGCCAGTGCGGCCGACCGACCGACCGACCGACCCACAGCTGTCTCTGGCCCGAGCCTCCAGCCGCCCCTCCACAGACCAGAGGAGAGTCTGCTCTCTGTCCCTCTGGGTGGACGGACAGACGGGAGGCAGGAGGGCCGGGCCGGCCGCCTGACAAAGCCGCCTTCAGGCCGCGCTCGCTCCCTCTGCGGGCGGCGGCGGCAGCGGGCAGAGGGAAGAAGGCTCCTTTCTGCAGCTGCTGACTCAGGCCCGCCGCCGCCCACAGCCAGGCTGCTGGGGAGACGCGGCTCGCTCCCCGGGCGGGGTGCTGCCACTTTCCCCTCCGTGTTCACACACGTGTCCCACGTGTCTGTGCACAGGAGAACATCCGTGCACACACGTCCGCATCTTGAAGCTGGGGCTGGTTTCCAGAAAGGTTTTATGGTTTTTAGTTTGCATCCGGCAGTCAGCGTGGTGGATCTCAGGAGCGGGCTCATGCGAAGGGACTGATTCCAGAAAGTAACGTGACGCGGACGCCACTCGGGACCTCGCGTGACACGGATGGGCCGGTGGGCGGCACTTAGGAGGAGCCGGAGCCCGAGCCTGAGCCGGAGCGGGAGCCGGGGCTGGAAGATGTCCCCGCACCGTTTCCACGTGAACGGAGAACCTGGAGGTGCTGACATCGATAGTCGCCATCTGCGCGCTGGCCACGGAGAGCCTGCCATTCCCGGACATGGCTCTCCGTGGCCGCGGCCCGCGGGGATGTTGGCATCGCCGCCCGGAGCGTCTGGGGAGGAGGCTCGGTACCTCCGCAGGGACGGCCCTCCGGAGGGCCAGCGTCCCTGAGCATCCGGGGAGAATGCCCATTGAGAGCCCTTGGACACGGGTTGTTTTCTGTACCGTTTAGTTTTTTCAAACAGAAACCAGCCTCTCACGACACCTTTGTTTTCCCCGATCCCACACGTCACTTCTGCTCCATCTCCGCTGTGCCCAGCCGAAGCCCTAGGAGTTCTGCCGGCAGATTCTGTGTATTTTGGTCGCAGAGACACATCCTCTGTGACGATCACTCCTTTTCCCCCGTCAGACCAACTCCCGGGGCCAGGAGAGAGAGAACGGGAGGTGCCCAGCTCCCTTAGGCCTCGTCTGAGTCCACGTGGTCCCCTCCTCGATCCCTGGACGTGCGGCTGAGATTGACGCGCCGGAGGGGCAGCTACGTAACGGGGCTCCCGGGCCGGCCCGCGGACGGCAGCCTGATGGACGCGCGGGCCGGGCCCACACGCCGCTGGGAAGGGGCGGCTGCTCTCCAGCCCCCCGTGCGTCAGTGTCATAACACAACCTGCAACTCCAGGATAGATTCACGCGCCGCACTCCAGGCTGGGCGTTATTTCCTACCGTCTTGGGGCATGACACACTCTGAGTCACCGTCTCCGCCCGCCGTAAACATGAGCCGCGTTTGGAAATACCTTAAAGGAAAACAGCGAGACGAACGCCTGAAGGATCGTGTGAGATGTGGTAGATTTTTACCTAGAATGCTGAGCAGATTCAGTAAACAGTAAATTTTTAATTCTTTTTTCTTTTTTTAATTAAGGGACAAGCTCCAACTGTGGTTGGTTGTAGGGCTGCCGGTGTTTGGTGACTTGGGGTTTTTAAAGGGAAAGCTAACATCCGAGCTGACGTTTATTTTTTTAGAAGTTTTGAACCTCGTATTTCTGTCCGTTGGGGGATATGTCGCCTTCATGTTCACCTCACGGGTTCTTTATGATTCACGTGTGTGAGTCCCGGGGCGGGGGAGGGGTTCTGGGCTCACGGTGAGGCTGCAGGTCCCGCGGCTGCGCCGGGCCGGGCCGTGCTGGGCGGGCAGAGGTCCAGCCCGGAGCCGGGCTGCTTCCTCGCGCGATGGCGAGGCTGCCATCTGGCAGAGATAGCGAGGCCGTGTTGTCACCGGCTCCTCGGCCGGAAAGGAATGATCCTCGTCTGTTTCCTGTGGATAAGCCTGGGCGGACGCGCGCGTGAAACCCCGCTGCCGTACAGAACGCAGACGGGCCTTCTCCCCGGCCGCCGGCGTCCATTCTGGCCGGCGACACCGCTCGCCTGCCCCCTGTCCCGGTGAAGGTCTGAACGCCTCGCTCAGGGGCCCCTTCCAGTGGGCAGGGCCAGCGTGCCCGCCTCCTGCTCCGATGGGACTCCCTGGCCCGCAGCCGCAGGGCCTGGCTGCGCCGGCTCAGGAAATCCCGCTCTCGGGGAACGAACGGGATGCTTTTCTGGTTTCCTGGGGTCTGGGACGGTGATTGTTTGGAAAAGCAAAGCAGTGGAGGTTTCACAGCCTGCGTGCGGAGGGTGTGCTTCCGCGAGGGCGTGAAGGAGGAAGGAGAGGGAGGGAGCGTGCTGGGTAAGGACAGGGCACACACATGTGCACGCGCGCAAACACACACACACACACACACACACACACACACACGCACGCAGGAGGCACAGCGACGGGTCCTCTCCTGGTAACTGGCTCGGCCCCCTCTGCCTCTCAGCCTTGTTTGTCTCCTCCCAGCAGCTCGTAAATCCGTCGGCATTTACCATCACCATTTATCACTTTTCCTGTTTCCCGTTTTCACAAGTCGCTTTGTCCCCGCTCACCTCGGGCGCGCGCGGGGCCTGTTTGGCTAAGGAAGTGCCCGCGGCTGGGCTGCCGGGGAGGAAGACGTGGCGGGCCACCTCTGAACTCAGCAAACAAAGCCGCGCTCGGGCCAGCCTCGGTGATTGCGGACGCCCTGGCTGTCCTTTATTACCCACGCCGTAATCATTATTGTGTTTTCCATCTTCTTTCCTGTGCTTACTTTTTAATATTTTTCCGAGGAAAGCAATAAGGTCTGCCTCGGGAAGGGCCCCATAAAAGATTCTGGTCCTCAGAATTTCCTCTAGATATAAAAACAAGCAGAATGCAGAGGGACTTTTTTATTATTATTAAATATCAGACATCTGGGTTGAGGGCATCAATTTGAAGTCGTTCCCGTAATATTTCCTCCTCGTCTGCTTCCTTGGATGCTCACCTGATATGCAAGTCACGTTCGAAAGAATGCAGGAGAAACATTAAATATATTAAAATCTGCGTTTTAATAAAATTGTCAATGCGTAATATATGCCTCACTTCTCAGGAAGGGTGATCAGAGGTAATGAAATGGTAATTTGGACGTAGAACTATTTAATATCTTTTTATATTTTAGACCCAGGAAAGAGGAAGTGAGTAAAAGCCCCGGCTCGGAACGGAGTGGGTTCCGCCCAGGTGTTTTCCCCCGTTTCTTCCGAGCGGTTCTGGGTGGTTCTGAGTGGTTCTGAGTGGTCCAACTCCATGGACACGTGGACAGTAACCCCAGCCGGTGTTGCTCAGTGGCTAGAGCGTCAGCCTGCAGATGGAAGGTCCCTGTTTGATTCCCATCAAGGGCAGGACCTCAGTTGCAGGCTCCTCCCTGTCCTGGGCCCTGGTCAGGACACGTGCAGGAAGCAACCCATCGACGTGTTTCTCTCCCATCGATGTTTCTCTCTGTCTCTCCCCCTCTCCCCAGCTCTCTCTGAAATCCATGGGAATGTGTCCTCGGGTAGAGGTTGTGAAGAGACAAAAGGAGAGACATGCAGGGGCCCCCCGGCCCGTCTCCAAACTCCCCCCCCCCCGTGTGACACGCATGCCCGCTTGTCGTTGCAGATGGCGTGGACGTGGAAGATGACCCCACCTGCTCGTGGCCGGCCTCCTCGCCCTCCAGCAAGGACCAGACCTCCCCGAGCCACGGCGAGGGCTGCGACTTCGGCGAGGAGGAGGGCGGCCCCGGCCTGCCGTACCCCTGCCAGTTCTGCGACAAGTCCTTCAGCCGCCTCAGCTACCTGAAGCACCACGAGCAGAGCCACAGCGACAAGCTGCCCTTCAAGTGCACCTTCTGCAGCCGCCTCTTCAAGCACAAGCGCAGCCGCGACCGGCACGTGAAGCTGCACACGGGCGACAAGAAGTACCACTGCAGCGAGTGCGACGCGGCCTTCTCCCGCAGCGACCACCTCAAGATCCACCTCAAGACGCACACGTCCAACAAGCCCTACAAGTGCGCCATCTGCCGCCGCGGCTTCCTGTCCTCCAGCTCGCTGCACGGGCACATGCAGGTGCACGAGCGCGGCAAGGAGGGCGGCCCGCCGGGCGCCCGGCTGGACGACTGGAAGCTGAAGGACACGCAGAAGTGCAGCCAGTGCGAGGAGGGCTTCGACTTCCCCGAGGACCTGCAGAAGCACATCGCCGAGTGCCACCCCGAGTGCTCGCCCAGCGAGGACCGCGCCGCCCTGCAGTGCGGCTACTGCCACGAGCTCTTCGTGGAGGAGGCCTCGCTGCTGGGCCACGTGGAGCAGGCGCACGGCGGCGAGAAGAAGAACGCCTGCAGCCGGTGCTCCGAGAGCTTCCTCACCGCGGAGGAGCTGTACAGCCACGTGGACAGCCACCAGCAGCCCGAGTCCTGCAACCACAGCGACAGCCCGTCCCTCGTCACCGTGGGCTACACCTCCGTGTCCAGCACCACGCCCGACTCCAACCTGTCGGTGGACAGCTCCACCATGGTGGAGGCCGCCCCGCCCCTGCCCAAGAGCCGCGGGCGGAAGCGGGCCGCCCCGCAGGCCGCCGACGTGGCCGGGGGCTCGGGCAAGCAGGCCAAGGTGACCTACAGCTGCATCTACTGCAGCAAGCAGCTCTTCTCCAGCCTGGCCGTGCTGCAGATCCACCTGAAGACCATGCACCTGGACAAGCCGGAGCAGGCGCACATCTGCCAGTACTGCCTGGAGGTGCTGCCCTCGCTCTACAACCTCAACGAGCACCTGAAGCAGGTGCACGAGGCCCCGGACGCCGGCCTGCTGGTGCCGGCCATGCCCGCCGTGGTCTACCAGTGCAACTTCTGCTCCGAGGTCGTCAACGACCTCAACACGCTGCAGGAGCACATCCGCTGCTCGCACGGCTTCGCCAACCCCGTGGCCAAGGACAGCAACGCCTTCTTCTGCCCCCACTGCTACATGGGCTTCCTCACGGACTCCTCCCTGGAGGAGCACATCCGGCAGGTGCACTGCGACCTCGGCGGCTCCCGCTTCGGCTCCCCCGTGCTCGGCACGCCCAAGGACCCCGTCGTCGAGGTCTACTCCTGCTCCTACTGCACCAACTCGCCCATCTTCAACAGCGTCCTCAAGCTCAACAAGCACATCAAGGAGAACCACAAGAACATCCCCCTGGCCCTGAACTACATCCACAACGGGAAGAAGTCCCGGGCCCTGAGCCCGCTGTCCCCCGTGGCCCTCGAGCAGACCTCCCTGAAGATGATGCAGGCGGTGGGGGGCGCGCCCGCGCGGCCGGGGGCGGCGGCCGGCGAGTACGTGTGCAACCAGTGCGGCGCCAAGTACACGTCGCTGGACGGCTTCCAGACGCACCTGAAGACGCACCTGGACACGGTGCTGCCCAAGCTGACCTGCCCGCAGTGCAACAAGGAGTTCCCCAACCAGGAGTCGCTGCTGAAGCACGTGACCATCCACTTCATGATCACCTCCACCTACTACATCTGCGAGAGCTGCGACAAGCAGTTCACGTCGGTGGACGACCTGCAGAAGCACCTGCTGGACATGCACACCTTCGTCTTCTTCCGCTGCACGCTGTGCCAGGAGGTCTTCGACTCCAAGGTGTCCATCCAGCTGCACCTGGCCGTGAAGCACAGCAACGAGAAGAAGGTGTACCGCTGCACCTCCTGCAACTGGGACTTCCGCAGCGAGGCCGACCTGCAGCTGCACGTGCGCCACAACCACCTGGAGAACCAGGGCAAGGCGCACAAGTGCATCTTCTGCGGCGAGGCCTTCGGCACCGAGGTGGAGCTGCAGTGCCACATCACCACGCACAGCAAGAAGTACAACTGCCGCTTCTGCAGCAAGGCCTTCCACGCCATCATCCTGCTGGAGAGGCACCTGCGCGAGAAGCACTGCGTCTTCGAGGCCAAGGCGCCCAACGGCGGCGCCAACGGGGCGGCCGAGCAGGCGCAGAAGGAGGAGGCGGAGCTGCAGACGCTGCTCACCAACAGCCAGGAGTCCCACAACAGCCACGACGGCAGCGAGGACGACGTGGACGCCTCGGAGCCCATGTACGGCTGCGACATCTGCGGCGCGGCCTACACCATGGAGACGCTGCTGCAGAACCACCAGCTGCGCGACCACAACATCCGGCCCGGCGAGAGCGCCATCGTCAAGAAGAAGGCGGAGCTCATCAAGGGCAACTACAAGTGCAACGTGTGCGCGCGCACCTTCTTCTCGGAGAGCGGCCTGCGCGAGCACATGCAGACGCACCTGGGCCCCGTCAAGCACTACATGTGCCCCATCTGCGGCGAGCGCTTCCCCTCGCTGCTCACGCTCACCGAGCACAAGGTCACGCACAGCAAGAGCCTGGACACGGGCAACTGCCGCATCTGCAAGCTGCCGCTGCAGAGCGAGGAGGAGTTCCTGGAGCACTGCCAGATGCACCCCGACCTGCGCAACTCGCTCACCGGCTTCCGCTGCGTGGTCTGCATGCAGACCGTGACCTCCACGCTCGAGCTCAAGATCCACGGCACCTTCCACATGCAGAAGACCGGCAGCGGGGCCGCCGTGCAGGCCGCCGGGCGCGGCCCGCACGGCCCCAAACTGTACAAGTGCGCCTCCTGCCTCAAGGAGTTCCGCTCCAAGCAGGACCTGGTGAAGCTGGACATCAACGGGCTGCCCTACGGGCTGTGCGCCGGCTGCGTGAGCCTCAGCAAGAGCGGCAGCCCAGGCCTCTCCGCCGGGCCCGGCGCCGCCAGGCCCGGCCTGGGCCCCGGCGAAGGCCTGGGCGGCCTCGAGGGGAAGGGCAAGGCCGGCGGCCCCAAGACGCGCTGCTCCAGCTGCAACGTCAAGTTCGAGTCGGAGGGCGAGCTGCAGAGCCACGTGCAGGCCGTGCACCGGGAGCTGCTGCCGGACGGGGCGGGGGGCGCGCCGCTGAAGACCCCGCAGGTCTCACCCATGCCCCGCATCAGCCCCTCCCAGGCGGACGAGGTAACCCCTTCTCTCGCTTGCTGTTTCAACCCCTCCTCCCAAGCCGAGAGGCTGAGCCGAAAGGCAGGGTTTTCTGTTGGTGGTTTTCCTGACAGCCACTGGCTAGCAACTACTTGGTCCTTGAGACGCAGCCTCCTGGCTGGAGTGGGCAGCAGAGGCCTGCTTCTTGTCTTCCCCGGAGACCGTCTTGCCCAGGGCTGAGGGGCATCGCTCTGCCAGCCCCCCACCCACTCCACCCAGCCCCTCGGGACCTGGAGTCTCCATGGCTCCCCTGTCCTCCCTGCCTCCCCCGCTATCAGGTCCCTGCCGGGACTCGGGGCTGAGTGTGTGGTGGGGAGATGATGGTGTGCAAGTGATGAGCTGGGGTTGGTGAAGACAGACAGACAGATACGCCGGTGACACTGGGGGGTGGCTTCTCTATGCCCGTGGTCAGCACTGTCAGCGCTCACTGCTTTTGTCTCTTCTGCGTAAGAAGGAAGGCAGTTACCTCACAAGAGGCGTTTAAAACTCCCCACATGGATCAAGCACAGGGGCCAGCCGTCTTAAAGGCACAGCTCCCGCCTCTCCCTCTCCGTCTGGGGCTGGGCTTCCGAATGGACAGGTAGTTTCTCAGGTTAAGAGTCCTCCCCGCTAGGACTGCAGGGACGGAGTACGTTCGTGCCAGGGAGCGCGTTAGACGGCGGGGCCCCGGGGCGGCTCGCTTCCCGTCACTCTGTGCTGGGCCACCCGGCTCCCGGGAGCTCCGCCCAGTCCCCAGGGTCTCTGTGGGAGAGACATCCCCAGTGACACCCCAGGGAGACCCTTTCCTTCAGAGAGGGGTCCCTGCCTTGTCTCTGCAGGCACACCTCCAGAGGCCCGCACCTCCCTGCAGAGAGCACCGTCACCTGGAGGGGGCGCTGAGGAGACCGCAGGCCCCTCCTGACAGGGGCCCCTGCAGGGCAAGCACCGCCCAAACCTCCCAGCTGCTTTGCTTCCTCTCAAGTCAATCTGCAGCTCTTCCTCGTTTAAGTAACCGAGTTCCCGTCACCCTGATGGGATGGCCGGCAGAGCGTAGTGTTAGTGGTTTGAGGCTCCTGTGTGTCTTTTGAAATAAATGTTGGCATTTACAATCATGAGCTATTTTTCCCCAAAAATGTATTGCAAACATGTTTAACCCCATGGACATGCTAAAGCAGGGTGGGGAACCTTCCTGCCACAGCCTTGGGACATGGAGACCACCATTCAAGCCATCAGAGCCATCGCACATGAGCCGGCTGCAGGGGCACACATTTAACTCACTCCCATTGTCCTCGGCGGCGCCAGACCAAAGGTGCCTCAGCCTCACGTGGCCCCCAGGCCGTGGTCCCCACCCCGAGTTCACGGCACAGGGACACGTGTGTGCCTGTTGGTTCATCTGTGCCACAGACTTACCAGCTGCGAACATTTTGTCCGATTTCCCTCTCCCTTCATAATTTTTTTATTAATTCGAGCCACATGTGAGTAAATTGCAGCTATCATGGTCTCGCCTCAGGATAAAGGCATTTTCCTATTTAACCGTAACATCGTTCCTGAAGGCAATTAACAGAATCAGCTAAAGGAATTAAATAAGCCCATACTACTATCCCGGAGAAGCTCACATTCAAATCTCCCCAATTATCCCCCAAATGTTTTATTTTTGAAATGCTTTTGAACGAGAAATCCTTAAAAAACATTTATGCAGAGGATGACTCTTCACTTAAAAAATGTTTCTATGCTGATCGTGTAGAGGAGTTTTTATTCTCATGTTTAATTTAAATCGTGCATGAAGTTGAATTAATGTGGATCTGTGTGTGTGTGTATGCATGAGAGAGAGAGAGAGAGATTGGGAATGTTAGGCACGTGTGCATTTAACATGAAGCGTAACAGAGATCTTGTTTCTAGTAAATTGTTTGTGAATAGGCACATGCCTGGTTTATGTTTTCTGATATTTCCAAATCGCTCCATATACAGTGCCATGTGAGGTGGAACGTTTTAAACAGCGAGGCGGACATACGTATGGTCTTTAGCTCATTCATTTGGTGGAGCTGAGAGCAGAGCTCACCTTTAAGAGATGGGTGGTGTCTCTAATCGCACCTTCGTCTCCATGGTGATCACAAAACTCACCTACATCCTGCACTTGCACAGGGCAAGATGTAAATCGGTTCCAAGGGGTTTTAGTTTCAGGTCTCAGGTTAGTTTGTGAAGTACTAGCTGCGGAGGGCTAACCTTCATTCGGCATGCAGAGGGTTGCCTTCAGCCTGGCACATGAGAGCCTGTAGCAGGGCCTTCACCCCCAAATGTCAGGCTTGGCGGTACCGGTTCCTCTGTGCCCCCAGATTCACCGATGCTCCACATGGGCGTCGCGGTCACCCCTCTCCCTGTGAGACTCTTTGGCCTGGCATGCTGTGTGTGCTCTTTCCCCTACACCAGTGGTCGGCAGACTGCGGCTCTCGAGCCACATGCGGCTAGCGAGCCGGGGATTGCCGCTCTGTTGACTAATGAGTTTGCCAACCACTGGGGTAGGAGCTTGATCACAAGGAACAACAACAGCCTGCAATTATTGGAATCGAGGGTCTAAATCAGTGGTCAGCGAACTCATTAGTCAACAGAGCGGCAAACAAAGGGGGCAGCATGTGGCTTCTGAGCCGCAGTTTGCAGACCACTGCCTGCACTCTCTGGGTTAACAATGGGCCGTAGGACACAGCAGACTTGGCACAGGATGTCATTCAAACACACGTGAAGTCTCAGAAAGAAGCCTGCAGGCCACCGTGGAAGACGTGTCCTGCCAGTAACCGGTCACCTCCTCGGTCAGCCACGGCCAGTGGCAAGCGTGTGACTCCTCGCTGAGGAGCAGGTGCGTCCCCAGAGCAGGAGGGGACGTGGCTGCCTTAAGCCTTTGCCCAGAGGTGGGCTCTCGCTCAGGCTCTCGCTCAGGTCCAGGTCCTCGCTCACGGACAGCTGGCGTTCCGTCTGCGTCTCGCTGTTGGGGGCAGTGGACAGATCCAGCTGTGGTCCTCTCCTGAGCCCTATTCCCGACGCCCCTCGTCTCAGTGAACCAGCCACTTGTACCCGCTCCTCAAGCAAAATACCTGGCAGCACTCCTGACCCCCTCACCCCCACTTCACTCCCCTCATCCGATCCGTCTGTGAAAACCATCGACCCGCCTCCCGCCTCTCCCTCAACTCCACCTGCGAAGCCGTCCCCGCGGCCCGGCTGCGGCCTCTGGCCTGGCTGCGCCGTGGCCTCTTCCCGGTCCCTCCTCACCCGCCTCTCTCCAGCCCCTCCCGTGTGTACGGTGGCCGGAGCTGTGTCCCTCACCTGAGGTTCTTCAGTGGCTTCCCGTTACCCTGGAAACCCCAGCCTCCTGGTTTACGTGGCCACACGAGTGGCAGCAGCTGGCTGCTTTCCCTTGTCCCAAGTGTCTGTCCTGTGCGCTGTGCCTGGCCTCCCAGCCTCCCTCTCCCCAGCCTCCTGGCCTCCCAGCCTCCTCCTCCTGGCCTCCCAGCCCCCAGCTTCCCAGCCTCCCCAGCTCCCCCCCCCAGCCTCCCGGTCCCCCAACCCTGCAGCCTCAGCCTCCAAGCCTGGGCCTCCCGCACCCCCAGCCTCCTGGCCTCCCAGCCTCCACCCCCACCAAGCCTCCTGGCCTCCCAGCCCCCAGCTTCCAAGCCTCCCTAGCCTCCCCCCACCCAGCCTCCCGGCCCCCCAGGCCCGCAGCCTCGGCCTCCTGCGCGGAGATGCTTCCAGCCTCCACACCACTGCTCCCTCACCTCCTGCTCTTCCAGGCCAGCCGCTCAGGACCGCTGCCTCTCTCGCCTGTCAGAAGGGCTCCCTGAGCATTTCATCTCAGTTAGTCTCTGCTTAGGGTTTGGTTTCAGTCCTCACCTGAGGATATGCTTTCATTGGTCTTAGAGAGAGGAAGGGATAATCAATCCCGCAACCTCCTGGTGTGCAGGACGATGCTTCAACCACCTGAGCCACCCAGCTGGGTTCCTCTCAGGTTTAAAAAAAAAAGTCATTATTTACTTTCTGGTTCATTTCCTTCTTCCCCTCCCTCACCTCTGAACACCCAGCGTCTGGGCACAAGGATTCGTGGTAGATGGCCGTTGGGTAAATGAACGTGTGCTCCACGTTTGGAAGGATACACAGGTGCGTCTGGTGACGGGTACGCAGAGAAGCAGATAGCTTCACCCGGAGTGTCAGGTGCTCTGAGGTCAGGGTTGGGCTGAGGATGCTCAATCAGCCGGGCCGGACGTTCCCACGAGTGAACCACCGTCTTCCATACGACGCTTCCACATCTGAGAGTCCGTATCCCCCCTTCACGGTCTCCCACGGAACACAGACGTGTCCGTGTGCGACTCAGAACCTGCTCACGCTTCAGAGCTCCACTCGGTTGTGTGCAATAAAAGATTTCCTAGGAGGATGAAGCAAACGCTCAGGTCTTTATATTTCAAATGGCTGAGTCCAAAGAACAGAAGTCAGTGTGCTAAGTCCCCTCTAAGTGAACGGTAATTTAAAGTGAAGCAGGGACTTTACATGACCAGATAGGTTAGTCCTCTGAAGATGCTCTTGCCGTTGACGGGATTGCCTGGCCCAGTTGTTGCTCTCCGAGTTGTTGTTGTGTCCACGTTTGCTTGGCTGGCACCGCAGCATCCTGGCACTGAGCCGTGGCCCTGGCGGGGACATCAGGGTGTGGAACCCGGAGCGGCTGCCTCCTCTCCGCTCCATCCCTGTCTCCACGCCTGCCTGGCAGGATCCTTGCCCGATTGTTCCATTTCCCTGCCAGGACTATGCCTAGATTTTCTAATATCCCAGTTCTAGATTTATTTTCCTGTGTGGGTGCTTTTAACCAGGTTATAGTGTCATGTTAGAGCCTATAAAATTCATCGATAGGAATGTTTTTATGTACAGACGTGCACCTTGCATTGCACATGGCATTTGTCTTTTGAGTTCTAGGCCCAAAGACTTTGGAGTCATTCTGTGCAGCAGCGGAATCGATTCAGGCC